TTTACTTGAACTCCTGGAAAGTGTAAACAGCAGGATCTGGTTTGGGTATCACAACGTGTAATCTCTCAAAAAGCACCGAAGCTACGATCTTGTCGGAAATCGTGCAAAACCCTCGTCGGCTCTGCCCAATTAGAAACCGTAAAGATGATCTCTGCATTTCTCAATCTTTAAACCCAGACACGAAAAAACAAAAAAGGAATCGACTTTTGGTAGAGTGACAGCGAACGCCGGCGAGGGTTTTTCCCCGTTTGTGTGTATTTTAAGAAGATGATAATCGAATTTAGTTTCTTCAGGTAACTAGACTGACAATCCGGTTTGCTCTAATAAAACTGGTTAACATAACCAGGATACGGTTTGCTCTAATAAGATTAGGATTTGATTCGGTTAGGCTACGTAAAAGCTCGGTTCTGTTGAGGTTGTGATTGTGATTGTGACTTTGTGAAGGAAATATATATCAGTTATTTTTTTATCACGTTGATGAAATGCCAATTTGGTCAAATTTTGATAGAAAACCGGTAGTTAATTTCGCAACACCATTTTCAGTTTCCTTAATTTCATCATCAGTCATTAATTTCATCATTGTAGCCATCTGAATGCTGAAAATATGCAAGTGATCCGTAATAAACCTACCAGAATTGGACCCGAAAATTTTTAAGCTTATGTGTGTTGGGTTGGGAACTACATCGTACTAGATTCTCACCTTTACTTTGTGCAAGAACATTTATTTTATATGTTGTAAACTAAACTTAACTTTCGTATTGTGTCGTATATAATATGTTTTAAAATTAAATATGTATTGTTTTAGTTTGTAAGTAGAATCGATTAGTTTGAAAAAGTATGATGGCTTTTTTTTAGTTTGAAGGTAGAGAATAAGTATGTTAAGTACTGAATTTTATAATGAATAATCATTGMAGTTGGTATACATAAATTATAATATTTAGTTTTGTGCATGTACGTATGTCTGTCGTATCAATTATTTAGTTTTGTGCATGTACATATGTCTATTATATTTACTTATTGAATAATTTGAATATCTAAAATATGTTATCTTAATTTAACTGTTTTATGAATGATCTTACCTTGCATGATATCTAAATATAATTAAATATCAAAAGCTATTAGGAAAAACATTGTTTTAAAGCTTGAAGAAATACAATAACCAAATCCATACTGAAACATAATGAAAATACAGAAGAACTAAAACCAAATTATTTAGGTGATTTCTCTTCTCTCCCGTCAACACGAATGATTAAGATAGAGATTTAAAATTAGTTGAATAAGAATGGTTTATAATATGGCCAACGTACTAAATCTCTATAT